ATTCATCCTAAAGAAGGCCTTTTCATAACTGACACTGACCATATGTGATTTGCAGAAGCTTACATTTACATATTCACAACCACATGCAGAATTAATCACAGACACTTTGAAGAATCTAAAAGGAGTCCTTTATTATGACATCGGAAGTGTGTTCAAGGATAAGCTATTTGAAGCTAAACCATAAATCAGAAAAGATTCTGGTCTAGTCAAAAGCCCTTTAGCCTAAAATTCTGCAGATCTGAATTCTTCCAGTTCACTCTCTAAATATGTGACTTTGGTCAAATTATTTAACATTTCTACAGTCATTTTCTTATCTAAATATTTAAGGAGTTATACAAAATCACTTTTGACCCCAACCATGTAGCTATATTAAAATCTCTTATGAATTCATGTGAAAGAATATTCCCATGTGTTGAAAGCATGGGTCCCTTGACTTAATGAAGATATTTACCATGTTTGCTTTGCTATATCAAACTGATAGGCCCTTGTCAACTCATCCAGGTGAGCCTGTAGCATGGGTTGCATCTCTTCCCGTGGAGATGGAGTAAGAGTTGCAGTGGACTGCTGTCCAAAAGAGATAGCAGGAGAAGAAGCGACGCCTCGGACAGGAGGTGTTGGAACTCTATCATCATCTTCTTCCAGTTCATCTTCCATACCTTGGTGTAAGTATGTTTGCACTGGCAATGGTGGGCACCAGCTATCACTGTCATAACTGAAATTAAATGAGAAAAATATGCAAATTGTCACTCACAGGTACACACACAATTATACTGGCAATAAATAGCAACCGTATGATATCTAAAATGTTCTCTCAGTTTATTTCCTCCTGATCAAGTTGTTGGTGCTATCATAGTAAATCACCTGGCTGTTATCTTAATTTCTAATTGTAATTACATCTGTTATCTCAATATCTCAATTTATTCTTAAAAGACCTTATTAGCTAATTGTTACTACCCCACAGTTACAAAAGGCAATAACTTCCCAACAAACTTACTCATGTGTAAAAACCAAATTGCTAATTAACCGCAATTAATGAATTTAGTGCCTGTAGATTTAACTACTTCCTTCTCCTCTTCATACTTGTGTACCAACAGAATATGCCAATATAGCTGATTGATCATCTAAGTAGTGTTGGAGAATTTTATTTACTGTTTCATTCCATGTCAGACATTAAGACTTTTTGATATAAAATATATCCAATGTCTCTTTGATTCTCTTAATTTTCTCAGTAGAAACTATGTCTGCTTTATCCTGACATTAAATGCAAATCATAAAACAGAAGATTTTAAAAATAATATTTTTATTATAGTAAAAACATTTAACATGAGATCTAGCTTGTCAATGAATTAAGTGTAAAATACAATAATTATTTTAAAACAGCAATTTTTAAGGTATTTTAAGTACCTTAAAAATACAGAATATATTTTTATAGAATATATAAAATTAATCCAAAAAGTGTTAATTGTGATACAAAATTATTAGCATTTCTATTACATATTCTTTCTAGTCATAGTATTTTCAGAAATCAAATCAATCCTAATATACCATTAAAAAGACACTTGAGGATAAGATAATATTATTGGATATAATTTTTTTATTTCAAAATATTAAGGGGGTACAAATGTTTTTGTTATGTGGATAGCTTTTATAATTCTTTAGTCAGGGCTATACATGTGCCCATCACCTGAATAGTGTTCATTGTACCTGTTAGGTAGGCTTTTACCCTTCCTTCATCCCCCAACCCCCTTCTTGATTTCCAATGATTTTTACTTCTTTCTGTGCCCATCAATTAGTTTGGATATAGTTGTCTTATAAATTCAACCTCTTAAATATCTCATGGATCTTTCCGCTGTGCTTCATCCCTGCTTCACAATCGTAGATCAGTCTCCTGATGTAAACCAACTTATTAGCTTTCCAAGTCTCTTGGGATGTCATCTTGTCTTCCAACCTTTTTCCATAGAGGAAACAGGTTAATATTTCTAAAATCTTCATTCACATCACATCTATGCTTAAAATTATTCAGTGATTGTAACTAATATAAGAAAAATTCCAAACTCATTAGCTGGACTTAAAAGACCCTTCCCTATCTGATCAGCCTATTTTTCTAGCTTCACTTCCTCAAAACCAGCCTATCCTATGTTTTCTCTAAATCTGGGTCTGTATGTGACTGTTCTCAAATCATCTGCTTATGAGCTCCTGCTCTTCCTTTAAGGTTCACTTTAAATGTTATCAGTTTTGTGAAGCCTTCTCTGCCCCCTCTTCATATGGAATTGATTACAACTTCATAGTACTTATATTTTGGTACTTCTTATATTAAG